CCTGTAGTCCCAGCTACTTGGGAGACAGAGGCTGGAGAATTGCTTGAGCCCAGAAGTTGGAGGTTGCTGTGAGCTGTGATGTCTCAGAACTCTACCCAGGGTGACAGCTTGAGGCTCTGTCTCAAAAAATATATAATAATTAAAAAGAAATAAATTAAGCTTAAGTCTTTTAAGGTTAGTCTCTCTAACCTTAGGGAGATTTTGATTTCATACTTTAGGTCATAGTTATGACATTAAGTCCAATTTCCTGGGGTACAAGTGAATCTTTCTAAAGGTAGAGTATCAATGTCTTAACACAATAACTAAGTAAATGTCATAAAGTCTATGTTAACCAGTTTGATGAAAATATTTCAAATTGTATATGAAAACACTACACTGTACCCCATGATTACATTAATGCACACAGCTATCATTTAATAAAAAAAAAAAGAAAGAAAGAAAAAAAAAGAAAACATTTCTGGTATACAAAAAAAAAAAAGTCCAATTCCCTGGATTCCTTTGCATCATGCCATTTCTTTTGAGAAGAATTCTCTCACTTTGTTTTATTAGAATAGTCTAATATGGTCATAAATGTTTTTTTAAAAGCTATCTCATTTATAAAATTTGAAAAAATATAAAAAGCAATTCAGTTCTAGTTTTTTATATTAAAAAAAAAGTAACAAGAGCCACGTCTTTTCTGAATTCTTCTAGTAGCTTCTGGGGCCAGGGCATGAAATACTGTTTTCTTCCATGTAAGAGTATTTTGTAAAAAGAAAAATATTAGACCACATTTTAAAATCTCCTAATTTAAAAATCTTCTAGAGATACATAATTAATTATTGTTATTCTATTGAAGAAATCTCGAACACCTACTGTATCCCAAGCACTTTGTTGAATACTGGTGTTAATATTGAAATCCATTGCAATTATGATTTTAATTTGCTAATTGAAATTTAATATTTAGTCTCTTGTGTTATTTTGTTTAATAATCATATATTCATATATTGATTTGGGAGTAGGAGATCTGGTTTGGACCAGCTATGGAAATGAAATAGAAAGAGACAGCATGGGAATTATTTGCTAGACAAGTAACTTGTACTCTTCTTATCTCTGCTTTCGGAGTCATATTTGAATGAAAGAATCACCAATGTGAACTTTATCCTCCTGTTACAGATTACAGATGTTGGATCACTTTGCTGAATGTGTTAAACAAGCGAAAGGGGTCCGCCAGCAGGCTGTGCAGCTTAATATATTTACTGCTGTTCTTAGTGCTCTAAAGGTATTTAATTTTAAAACATAAAAAATATTCTGAAATAAGATTTTAATTAATGTCTTTATTAAGCCAGGCATATCAAGATTATTATGTTTATATTATGTATGTATGTGTGTGTATATATATATATATATATATACCTCTTGATAATTGTGGGTTTTTTTAGCTTTCTTAAATTACTAGAAACTTCAAACTAGGTTCATTGTAATTTGGGGGGGGATTTTTTTTGTTTTTTTGTTTTCGGGGTCTTTTTTTTTTGAGTTGAGATCTTGCTGTGTTGCTCAGACTGATCTTAAACTTCTGGGTTCAAGCAATCTTCCCACCTCAGCTTCCTGAGTAGCAGGATTGCAGATACACACTACTTGTGCCTGGCTGGGTCTGTTGTAATTAATAAATGTTTTATATTTTAGTACTATTAAAGTTCATGTTTCATTCAGAACGTCAGATTTCACAAGTTAAGTAAGTTATTTCAGAATTTCCAAAAATGTCTAATAAAATCTGATATTCTACCAACAGTTAACTAAATTAAGTTTGATCTGTGGTTTAAACTACAAATCACATTAGGCTGTGCTATATGGTTGAAAGAATGTTGCATTTGGAGATGTGTTCTGGTTTAGGTACTAACCAGGTGTGTATCAAGTGTAATTCTTCTAACATTTTTTACCTATACTTTCTACATATATGAAGTGGAATACAGTAGTCCCCCTCTCCCATTTCATGATTTTGCTTTCTGTAGTTTGAATTACCCATGGTCACCAGTGGTAAATACTAAATGGAAAGCTCCAGAAATGAACAATGCATATGTTTTCAATTGCATAGGACTCTGAGCAGCATGACGCAATCCAACACTGTCCTGCTGTGTCCTGCCCAGGCTGTGAGTCATCTCTTTGTCCACAGTATCCATGCTGTCTACACTCCCTGCCCCTAGTAGCCATCTGTCTTAGTTATCAGACTGTTGCTATATCACAGTGCTAGACTTCAAATAACCTTCAGATTTTACTTCATAACGGCCCCAAAGCATAAGGTAGTGATATTGGCCATTTCAGTATGCCAAAGGGAAGCCATAAAGTACTTCCTTTAAGTGAAAAGGTTGAGAGTCCAGTACTCTCAATAAGGAAAGAAAAAAATCATATGCTGAAGTTGCTAAGATCTACAAAAAAGAATGAATCTTTTATCTGAGAAATTGTGAGGAAGGAAGAAGAAAATTGTGTCAGTTTTGCTATCACACCTCAGACTGCTAAGATGATGGCCACAGTGTGTAAATAAGTGCTACTTAAGATGGGGAAGCATTAAATTTGTGGGTGGAAGACGTGAACAGAAACATGTCCTGACCGACGGCAGTTGGGTTCCATACTCAGTGTGGTTTCCCGCGTCTGAGGTGTGGCTCCTGGGCTGTGCCCCATTTTCATAAAGGGGACCGCTGTAACAGACATCGTGCCTGTCTCACAGAGTTCATGCATGATACTTTGTGGCGTCTTACTGTATATTTGGAAACTTTTTATATTATTCAGCACTAAGCTTATTGTAAGGTTTTGTTTTAAAATAAAATGGTAGCAAATATAAGTATTTTAACGAACTTGTCTTAGGTCATCTAAGTATCAGGGAAAAGGGATATAGGTATGGATTACAGAAATGTGGTGTGTCCATAAAGTACATGTGCAATTTAAAATAGTTTAACATAGTAAATCGCACCTTGTATAGTACCATTTATATAACCACTAGTATATGGCCTAGAGACCGTCAACTAATACATCTGAGCTTTTTACAAAAGAAGAATGAGGGCTGAGCACGATGGCTCACACTTTCAGTCCCAGAACTTTGGGGAGGCCAGAGCGGAAGGCTCACTTTGAGGCCAAGAGTTTGAGACCAGCCTGGGCAACATAGCAGGACCTTGTCTCTAGAAAAAAAATTAAAAATCAGATGAGTATCGAGGCACATGCCTATAGTCCTAGCTATTCAGGAGTCTGAAGCTGGAGGATCTTTGGAGCCAAGGAGTTCAAGGTTATAGTGAGCTATGATAGTGCCACTGCACTTCAGCCTAGACAACAAAACAAAATCTGTCTCTAAAAACATTTTTAAAACGTAAAAGAAAAAAGGAAATGAGGTAATCGGTGGTCATGGTCTTCTTTAGTAGTGTGAAGAATAATAAACCACCTGAAATACTGCTGTACAGATTACACTTTTCTTCACAGATGTGTGAAAGCTTCTGCTGTAGTTAACATTTTCCCCAGGCACCATGGCTTGGATTTTAAATTAAGTTCCAGAACAGTTAAATGTAGCTAGAACATCATTTAGTATGGTAAACAAAGTATTATAACATTCATTGCTGGTTATTTTTAACTCATTTAGTCATTAGATATATATTGGTTATATTCTTAAGGACATAATTGTCTCCTGTGAAATTTTTATGTAAATGAATCAAAGTTTCATACTCATCAGGCTCTTTCCATCCTTAAAGTTAGAGTGATAAATTTCAACCAGTTAGATTTAATAATACAGTGTCCTTTATATGTAAAAGTAAATTTTAACTATATCTTTGGATAGAGACATTTCCAGGAATTAGTCATTCTAGGGCCGAACTATGAATATATTATATATCACATCATGTTCTGAAATCATATTTAGGAAAGTGATTCTAGACATTACTATATACATGTGAGAGTTGGCTGAAGAAAATAATATATGAAGATAGTATGTAGTTGATAAAGATTGTAGCATGTTCTTTATTTAACATGAATTTTCAATTGCCCTCATTAAAAAAAATAAATAAATACAGGGCTTAGCTGAGAACAAAAGTACTTTGGGACCCGAGGAAGTTCGCAAATCTGCTCTGACCCTGGTTATGGGGGCTCTCGACAACCCAAACCCCATCTTGCGATGTGCGGCGGGGGAAGCTCTTGGAAGAATGGCTCAGGTGGTTGGAGAAGCAACTTTCATTGCTAGGATGGCCCAATATAGCTTTGACAAGTAAGTGGATCTCTTTACTAATAAGTCAGTTTCTTTTGTAGGCAAAGATGTCTCTTAAGTAATCAACAATTATTAACTGAACTGTTTTCCACATAGTATGTAACATGTCGCATGTGACAATACTTTGTCTTTTTTCATATGATCTCAATTTTTAAGTTAATAATTGATTA